TCTGTGGTGATAATTTTCTACATGTTAAGGGCTCTTGTGTGCTGTCCCTTGGCAGCAATGCCTGTAAACCTAAAGAGAAAAATCTGATAAAATCCACTTTGATTCTGCCAAGAAATATCAGTCTCAGTTACATGTTATGCCACTGAGCATACATTTAGATGCCCCTTTTTTTTGCTCCTACCTCTAGATTTGCCTTTTGGTCAGAAATGATGAGACACAAGACAGGCAGAAATGCTGTTCAGAGAAGAGCTGTGAGTCAGTGAGCACACCCTCAAAGCAGCTCACACTTGACCAAAACCATGGGCTTGCAAAAAGAGACAAGCTGGAGAAACCAAGAGCTCAGAGAAGCCAAGGGTTTAGAGAAGTCAAGGGTTTGGAGAACACCAGATAAATAGGAATTGGGAAACAGGCTCAGGAGGGAGATCTGGAGATCAAGAGTTTCAGCCTCTTGCCAAAAGAAGGATTATTGCTGACACTAGACCAGGCCAGTGGTGTTTGTGATCTCTTTGCTTTGGAGCCAGACAGCTGACTCTCACGGAGGAAAAGTCCTGTGTTCTCAGAAAAATGCTGGAGGAAGACTTCAGGGTGAGGAAGAGAGCAGAAACTTGGGCCAGCTTCCACTGAACTGAACACCAGCAGTTGTGCTGTTTTCTCCTAGCCTGGAGACTGACTTTGGCTGTGTAGGTTCACGTGAAGATAGGAGTCCTAAAATTTCACACCCACTTCCCAAAGAGTGAATTTTCCTCTGGAAACCCCACAGATCCAGATTTGTGATTCTGCCAAGCTTCAGTGCTGTCCCTGAGTCACAGGACAGCCTCAAAGGCTGAACTCTTCTCCAGGGAGGCTGGATGTTTGGAAGGGAGGGAGATATCGGCCCGATTTTCCCATAGCAACAAAACTCCTGCAAAGCCTTTGCTCCGGGCTGGATACAAAGGCAAGAGCTCTGCATGGGCAGCATTCAGCCACTGCACCTCCAGGCTGGAGGAAAATGCCAGCAGTCAAGATAGCAATAATGAGGCAAACATTTACCCAGGCTTCATAAGCAAAGGGAGGACAATGAGCCTGGGAACAGAGTGTGTGCAAAATCCCACTTGTCCCACGGCAGAAATGTCCCCTGGGAAGCCCAGGGCTCTCAGCTCAAAGAAAGGGACATGCCCATTGAGGCAGAGAGGCAATAATGTGAGTAAAGGATCATTTTTAGTAGCCATTCCCTTTGCTTCTTCCCTCCCTCTCCTGTGATTTCAGCTCAGCACAGGGTCATCAACACAGGTGATCCAGGACACGAAGGAAACTTAGGGACAGACAGGGTGAGACTGTCACTGTAGTGACAGGACCAGGGGGAGAGGGTTAAAATCAAAGAGAATGGGTTTAGAAGAGATTTGAGGGTGGTGAGGCACAGGTTTTCCCGGAGGAGCTGTGGCTGCCCCATCCCTCAAGGCCAGGTTGGACAGGGCTTGGAGCAGCCTGGGATAGTGGAAGGTGTCCCTGCCCACGGCAGGGGGTTGGAACAAGATGATCTTTAGGGTTCATTCCAGCCAAAACCATTCTGTGGTTTTATGATCCAGTCACATCCAACCTGATGCCTAAAGATGGGGATGGCAAATGCTTTGTTTCTAACTCACACAATCCTGGCATTAAGCTGGGTGGGAAAACGCAGCTGCAGGAATCTAGAACTCACCCCAAGGTCTTCCATTGTTACACCAGTGGTGTAATTCTTATTAGTGATCTATCACTGAGCAGCCCTTTCCTCTTTCAGTTTAGTGGAAGTGCAGGTAGGCTCTGGGCTAGAACACATAATGTGCAAATTACTTGTAGGTCTTTCTGAATAAATGTTTCCAGAGATCCCTGAACAAAATGTAGTGTCTGACAGCCCAAAATGCACCAATCCTACCCTTTCCGTGTAAACACAGGTTAAGGAAATAAGCATCTTAACAGGGAAATATAAGTATTTCCCTGCTTTTTGAGTCCTAGGGAAAAAGGCATGAGTATATAAAGCTATCAGGTGATCAAAAGTTTCATGCTGTTTCACAGCATACACATTCCTTTGAGATCCAACTCCAGAACAACCAAAAAGATGCTTAAACTGGGGAGAGGATCTGATTAAAGCACAACCAGACAGGAAAAACCAAAAACCAAACCCAAAACAAACAACAACCTTCTGACCTCTTACCAATATGAATTTAAAAACCTGTATTTAGCAAAGGAAGATTCTGTGACAACACCGCGAGCATCACTTTTGGAGAAATAGAATGGAGAAAGAGAAAATGCACCCAGCTCCAGATTTTTTGGGTGAATATTCAGCTCCAGACAAGAACAGCCTCAGCGCTGGATCCAGCAGGTCACCAGAGACTGGGGAGTGCAATATTGCAACAGCTCATGACAGGGCTGAGCTGGTAATCCAAACACCAGCCTGTCTCCATCCATTTTGATCTTCCCATACAGCCTGCAGAATTTCCTCATTTCTATGTTTGGGTTCAGGAGGAGTCAGCAGAGCTTGGCAGCGTGCCCCTGACCTCTAATGGGTGCTGGGCTGGGGCACACTCGAGGCATTTTTGGGGGATGCAGTAGACCCTAGACCTGTGTGAGCTAGGGCAAGTCACTCCCCATAACCTGGAAATCCAAAATTCCCTGTGAAGCACTGGGGAAAAGGCTGCAGGAGGGAAAAAAAGAGGACTTTGCTCCCTCCCAGAGCTGCCAAGTGCAGAACCAGTAACTTGTAGGGACCCAACTCCAGAGCAGTGTAAATATAAAAACCACACAAGACGAGCAAACACTCTTAAAAAGTTTTTATTAATTTTCATTGTTTTTTTTTTTTTTAAAAAAAACAAACCCGTCAGTGCAACAGTTCAGTATCCCCTTCCTATCCCCCATCAGTAAGCAGTAATTTTAAAATCAGGAAATACCGAGTGCTGAAGCCAATGGGTTAGCATTTTGCTATTATTTCCTTCTGTCAAACTCTGAAAAAGTCCTCTGTATAAATTAAACAATGAAAAAAATGTTATTTTCAATTCTATGTCATTACAGTCAACAGAATCATAATAATGCACCTAAAATGTGTGTCCACAATATATCAGGTATACATTTTTGGGAAAAGAAAAAAAGGAAAAAAATATGACATTCTAAGCTTGTTAAAAGGATAATGGTCCCATATTTTTTTATTACAGGTTAGCAAAACAAAATCCAATGGATTACAATATTTACATGTTATTTGAAAAATTAAGTAGTGATAAAAGCATGTCACAATCATTGTTTCTTTTTTTTTTTTTTTTTTTTTTTTTTTCTTTTTCCTTTTTGGTAACCATTACAAACACCCAATCCAGGTATGGAACTGTTTAAATATATTTGAAATGAGGCCAATTAAAAAACAAATACAGACACAAAATGTGTATTTTTACTTGTCCCTCCAATGTGTCTTTTCTATGATGTTCCCTCCCTATTAAAAAAAAAAAAAAAAAACCAACAGAAAAATAGAAAGAATCCCCCTAACACACAATTGATGAATCCCCAAAAGCAAAACACCATGCTTCTCAAGTAGCACTTATTCCACAAATGCAACATTTTTGCCATCACTTTTAAGTGAAGCTCTCCAGGACACAATTTCCTGGAGAGCTTCCTATTTTCCCCCCTCCCCCTCCCCCTGATC